CCAAGGCTGCGTGGCCTCGGACAGGCTAACTGTGGCCTGTGCTAAAGGAGATGCCAATGCCAATAAGGTTGCACCCTGCGAGGCGCCGAGAAACGTTTGAGGGGGGCCGTCGCTTCGGAAGCCTAGAAAAGAAGAGGGTGGCCTCGGCGGTTAGCATCGTATGTGGCAGTTCAGGCCATGCCAAGGCTGCGTGGCCTCGGACAGGCTAGCTGTGGCCTGCGCTAAAGCCCACAAAGGTGGAGATGCCAATGCCAAGGTTGTGCCCTGCGACCCCAGGATATACACCAACAACAGCAATCACAGCAGCAGCACTAAGAAGAAGACCCAGAAGCATCACAAGATCAGAAAAACCACTAGCAACAGGCAGCAAGAAGCATAGTAGCAATGCCTCTGTTCTGGCTGTGCTAATAGACTGGCGGCTGTTTGCGGGGGCCTTGTTGGACAGCCCAGGTGCTGAGCCAGCAAGGCCTGTGCTGCGGCAGCCCTGGTGCTGACCGTAGCACTTCCTGTGGACGGCCGCAGGTCTATCTGCGTGGCTGGAGAATGGCAAGCAGAAGAAGAAGAAGAAGCAGAAGAAGAAGAAGAAGAAGAAAAAGAAGAAAACGAAGTAGCAATGCCTCTGTTCTGGCTGTGCTAATAGACTGGCGGCAGCTGTTTGCGGGGGCCTTGTTGGACAGCCCAGGTGCTGAGCCAGCAAGGCTTGTGCTGCGGCAGCCCTGTTGCTGACCGTAGCACTTCCTGTGGACGGCCGCAGGTCTATCTGCGTGGCTGGAGAATGGCAAGCAGAAGAAGAAGAAGAAGCAGAAGAAGAAGAAGAAGAAGAAAAAGAAGAAAACGAAGTAGCAATGCCTCTGTTCTGGCTGTGCTAATAGACTGGCGGCAGCTGTTTGCGGGGGCCTTGTTGGACAGCCCAGGTGCTGAGCCAGCAAGGCTTGTGCTGCGGCAGCCGTGGTGCTGACCGTAGCACTTCCTGTGGACGGCCGCAGGTCTATCTGCGTGGCTGGAGAATGGCAAGCAGAAGAAGAAGAAGCAGAAGAAGAAGAAGAAGAAGAAAAAGAAAAAGAAGAAAACAAAGTAGCAATGCCTCTGTTCTGGCTGTGCTAATAGACTGGCAGCTGTTTGCGGGGGCCTTGTTGGACAGCCCAGGTGCTGAGCCAGCAAGACTTGTGCTGCGGCAGCCCTGGTGCTGACCGTAGCACTTCCTGTGGACGGCCCCAGGTCTATCTGCGTGGCTGGAGAATGGCAAGCAGAAGAAGAAGAAGCAGAAGAAGAAGAAGAAGAAGAAGAAAACCAAGAAGAAGAAAAAGAAGAAGAAGAAGAAGATCAAGAAGAAGAAGAAGAAGAAGAAGAAGAAGAACAAGAAGAAGAACAAGAAGAAGAAGAAGAAGAAGAAGAACAAACAGAAGATCAGTCACAAGAGAAGTACAACACCAACAGCGAAGAGGAAAATGCACAAAAAGACATCACAGTCACATTCAAAAACACACCCAGGATCACCAGAACAAGCCTAAAAAAATGCCTAACGTCGCCTTCGGAAGCCCATAAGAGGAGAGGAGGCAGGCTTCGGACAGGCCACAGAGAGGCCGCAACAGGCCTGCCGGCTGCCGAGGAGGGTTTGAAGGCGGTCGAAGAAAGATTATGGGCATCTTCGGACAAGCCACAGAGAGGCCGCAACAGGCCTGCCAGCTGCCGAGAGAGGAGGCAGGCCTCGGACAGGCCGCAGCAGGCTGCCAGCTGGCGAGGCCTCGGACAGGCCTTTGGAAGTGCTTGGAAGGGTTCTGCTAGGCTTGGCCAACTGCTTCACCCGAGGGTTTGAAGGCGGTCCCAAAAATGCCTAACGTCGCCTTCGGAAGCCCATAAGAAGAGAGGAG